GCCACACACTTTCTCTGCGCCGTGGAGCCTCCGCGACCCCGACAGAGGCTTCCCAGGCCTCCCAGCACCGCGCCGTGCCATCCTTCACACCGCGGCAACCTGCTGCCTCGCGCCGCGCCAGACTTTTCTCGCGCCGTGACCTGTGAGTTATATAAATATGGGATGCGACTTCGACAGAAAAGATATCTCCCCCTCCTGGGGACGAACCTAGGGCTAGAAAACATGAAATTCCCAACTCCATTCTCTCTTCTTCTTCCCTTCTTCTTCTTCTTCTTCATTTTTTCTCCTCTTTTTATCTTTCTCTTTCATTTTTCTTCTTCTTCTTAATAATTAGGGATTAAGCTTTGTATTTCGAATTCAACTTTGGAACTTGGATTGATTGTAAGTACTCATTTCTCTTATTTGAATAATGGTTATTTGAGAGGAATGATTATGATTGTTGAATTTGATTTACGTAGCTAAATCTGATTGTTAGGGATATGGGATGATTGTTCTTGTTTAACGTGCATTTGTCGGGCTCAAGATTGTTCATGCTTATGTGAGTTGAATTAATTCAGAATTGATGAATTTGTGCTTGATTGATTGATATAATCGAAGAGTGACACTTCGATCTTGTGATTGGAAACGATTGAATGTTAATTTATCGAGTTAGGGTTTGTCGATTCTATATGATTAGTTGATTAATCACCTTCTAGTTAATTAACGACTTTTAGAACCGAAAGGGGAGAAGTCGTAGACCTAGGCTTACATGAGGTAGATAATTTCATAATTGAATAGTCTATTGGTTTTGGATTGAAATACGTGTTTGTCGATGACCCGTCCTTTATTACGAAAAGTTATTGGGATTGGGATAATTGGCCTGTGTCGTATGCTCAAGTTTGTTCGTCTATGTTCAATCCCTTGTTACGAAGAGTTATTGGGAGCGAACCGATAGATGTTTTAAGCGAGAGTGTCAATCTCGAACTGAACAATTGATTGCCCGGTTTTGCTAAGAACTTGAATAAATTATCCCCGATTCCCTAGCTTCTCCATCTTTGTTCCGTTTATATTTTTAGGTAGATTATTGTTTTATTTTATTTCTTAGTTAATAATTCATCCAATCTGCTATCTGATTAGAGTGTTTAGAACTTATTTGCTTTTTCTGTGTAATCGATACCAAAGCTAAATTCCGAACCGTCTGCATCGAGAGATCGACGCGGGAAACGAATCATTCGATTCGGTACTCAGTAAAAAATAAAATAATTTGTACAACACTTGGAGTAAAATGTTTTCTTATGTCTAGTTGAGAGGAGCTACACAGTAAAATTCTTTCGGCTTGGATCCCTTGCTTTAGTTAATTAACTATATGAGACATTCTCTTAAATTAATGTACATTGGACACATATATGTGACATTCTTATAAATAATTGCGAAATAATATAATTAACCATAGTTGACATGAAAAGGCACAAGCCAATTTGTTTATTTAGGAAGTTTAATTACGGGAAATGCTCCCTGTCCACAATGGACACATATTAATATGTCTACCATCGCTTATGTGGCATGCACACGTTGACAATGTTAATATATTAAAAAAAATACATCATTAATGTGTGCATGCCACATAAACGGTGGACATATTAACATGTGTCCACCGTGAGTAGGGAGCATTTCCGGTTTAATTAAATATGGATGATGTCTAGTTGTAAGTCTTTGATACATACAAGATTGAGATGATGTTTTTTAATCAAGTAAATTAGATTAAATGAATTTAATGCTGAAAGTGAGAGATGACAAACAAAGAAGATAAGGTTAACATCAGAAGAATATTTTCCGCTCATCACCAAAATATTACTTAACAATTAATTATAAGAAAGCATAAAAGGTTTGATGATTGGATGAAAATGGCTTAAGAAGGAAGCAAAGGAATCTCTTTGAGAGAGCCACCATGATTGGGCTTGGGTGGCCACAAATCCATTATTGACAATTCCAACTGATCAAGAATCGCTATACATGCCTTATTCTATTTATGGATATCTATGCAATACATGTATATCCATATTGTATTTAACTATTTCTGTATCTAAACAAAAAACAAATATCTAGATATAAATTTCGATTATCTTGTGTAAATTCTTTGAGAGAGACAGAGAGAGATAGTAGCAAAATAAAAGGAAAAAAAAATGTGAATTTGGTACTTTTTATGTGTCTTCCTCTATGAAAAAATGTGAGTTTTGTACACCATTTATCATAAAAATAAATTTGAGAAAGTTGGATTTGATATTCCAAGTACACTTGCTTTTTTCTTTGAAAAAAAAATGTGAATTTGGTACTTTTTATGTGTCTTCCTCTATGAAAAAATGTGAGTTTTGTACACCATTTATCATAAAAATAAACTTGAGAAAGTTGGATTTGATATTCCAAGTACATTTGCGTTTTTCTTTTTAGTACCCTATTTAATTCACTTTAGTTAAGTTTAAACTAATTAAGATACCACAATTGAATATTTTTTTCTCCTAATTCACATTTATATGCAATATATTCATTAAAAAAAAAAAAAAATGTTATATATCAATTTCAGAGAATTTTTTCCCCATATTCAACTTGTGAAATTGTTCAGGGTATGATAGAGAATATCATAAATGTGTCTTCTTATTTTTTAATAAAATTTATAACTTTTTTGTTTGTAATATATTTTTTATATATGATATATCAAATTAATTATCTTTTAACGATCTTTTATTTGACCTCCATATTACATATATAAAATACGAAACAATAATATATATCCTTATAAATAAAATTTAAATTGATTTATCAAACTAAATTAAAAATATAAAAAAAGAATGAAGCAATAGAAATTTAATTAAGTTAACATATCATAAAATATTTATTTCAACTGAAAAGAATATATATAAACTAAGCATGAACTTAAAATGAATATAAAATATATTTTAAAATTTATGTCTCAACTTAAATTAAGACTACAAAGATATTGAACATTATAATGATCTTAAAAATAAAAAATAATGTTTATAATTAAAAATAATAAAAATAATTATTAAAATTTATGAAGTTTAAAAACACATTATATTTTAAATTATTGAATATTATAAAATTTAAGATATTTAAAAATATAATAGATCATGTATATAAAGTATTAATCAAACTTGGAAAGAATTTAAATTAATTCAAAATAAAGTGAGTTGTATATGATATATATGTGTGTGTGTGTTGTTTAATATTGAAAAAAATACCATTTTAACAAACCGAGTGTAAAATATAGGGTACTATTTTAAATAATTAACTATGTTAATTTTTGAATTATTAATGTATACTTCATTTTTTTATCATTATATTATAAGAATATAAATTTATTTACTTATTTCTTTTGATAAAAATATTTTATTTTTATTTTAATGCATCCTTGTTATTCACGGGTGTTATATTAACGGCATAATAAATTAAGTATTCTATTTAATTTTGAAAAATGAATATATCATAATTAAAATATTTAATATTTCATATAAAATATTTTCTAAAATTTATAATAATATCACAAATTCGTTTACTTTATTATTAATTACTTATAATTTTAATTTTACAATATTTTTTTTTTTCATTCATTGTTGCATAATTAATTTTTTCTTCAAACACCTAGGGCTGAGCATGGGACTCGGAGAATTCCAAACCGTTCCGAAAATCGAACCGAAATCATTCCGAACTGAAAAATAACCATTGACCGTTTGAATTTCTCCGAACCGAAAAAATAATTGGTACGGTTCTGGAGATTTCACAAATATCCGTACCGAGAAGCGAACTGAACCGTCCCATATCGTACCGAACTGAAGAACTGAATTATAAAAATAGATGTGTATTATGAATATATTTTATGTCAATGTTGATCCTATATTTTGAGAATTTTTAAAATGCAAACAAAATATAGTAATAACAATTAAGTTTTACTTAAATTTCAGGTTTAGTAATACTTGATCTATAATTGAATTTTTCTTGTTTTTTTTAAATAAAATATTTAAAATGGAATGAAAGGTTAAAGAAATATTTTTTTTAATACTTAAATTTTTTGATACTTAGTCTTATTTTATCTTATAACTAACATGTATGTAAGGTTAAAGAAATACTACTTTAATGAAAAACTAGATTATATTTTGTTTTAATCTTAAATTTCAATGTTAGTTGCACAAATTTAGTCTTAACTAAAATTTAAAATTTAGAGTTACTTCTAAAGTTGATTAAGAATAAAATCATTAGTATGATGAAGTATTAATGAATGTTGAATTTAGGAAAAACATATAAAAACTGAAATATAACTAGGTAGTCATTCAAAAAAAATTTAAAAATAATTAGAAATCTCCGAATATCCAAACCGAACCGAATCGTTCTGGTAGTCCCGAATACCGAATCGAACCGAACTGAAAAATAAAAATTTCCGAACCGGATCGAACAAATTTTTTGGTACGATTCTGGAGTCGAATTTTAGTAATCTTCAAATTTTGGTACGGTTCCAGAGATTTACTAATCTACCAACCCATTCTCATCTTATGAAATACCCGTGTAGTTAACGGGCTAGTAATATGTGATGCATAAATAAGTGAAATTATTTATTGTTATTAATGATCCTTCTCTTTAAACTTTAAAGTGACATTTCACCGGACTAAAAAATAATGATAATTATGTACGGCCTTGAAATTGATAGCACAGTGATTGGTTGTATGATTTAATGCACGGGCGTATATTTTGTGAATGCGTAAATATGTGAATTGTGATGCACAACTTTCAAC